ATAGGTTAAAACTAATTGCAACGTAAGTTGCAATATTAAAAGTTGCAACATATTAATTACAGTTCCCATCTTTAATTATGATATATCTTATTGAAATTTATTCTTTTATTCTTAGAATGGAAGTCCCTGTACTTGCATCTAAGTACAGAAAAAACTATGGGCTTGATCATTCAGTATATAAAGTGGTTGAAGGAAAATGCGCCGATTTGCTAGCTTGGTCTTGGGAGACGGGAGAGGAAATTTTTGTTGGAAAGCAAGCAGGACCACCCACTAAACCTAACTTAACAAAGCTCTCTATGGACTCTTTCAAATTGTATAGAGAATTAAGGGATTGTCTGAATATCCGCATATTAAATGTAATGAAAATCAGAGATGTTAGTTACACTAATCGTACTGTGTTTAGAATACTTGGATATTTGTTCAAAGTTAAGATGTTAATTATGTGAAAAGATGGTATATATATATATGAGGAGTTTGGGAGTTTCACTGTGGCTTCTCATTCGAAAAATATTTATATGATGAAATCGGGAATATTAAAATTATTAGAATTTATTGTAAGTTTATCATCATATCTTTTCGTTGATTTTTTCATTCTAAATTGAATTAATTATGATCATTAAGACGGAATTGAAATATAATGCAGAAATAAAAAATGATAATAATAAAGCTCAGATCCTGAAAAGAAAATTTAGTGATTTTATTCAAACAAAGTCATCACCAATAAAGGTCGCAAAGGTTAAGTGAATATGTAATGGATCCAAGGCAGTCTCTTCTGCCGAAGTTTTCTCCGTAGGAGCATTTTTTTTCTCAGGTATAAATATATATATATAAACAGCAATTTTATTCATTTTCGGCTTCATCTGACTTAATATCAAGTGTCCTATTTACTTTAATAAACCAATCATTAATAAAAATTTTATTTCGCCTACATCAGGCTTTATCTTTTTAATGTGTGTGCTACATGTGGATAAGTGTAATTGTATCAGAAAAATAAAATGTTTATTTGTTAATTTATTGCCATAGTAAAATTTTTTCTCTTGGTGAAAGTGATCGGCATTCTAAAATGAAACGCGAATATGATTTTTTTTTCATCGGGTTTTCCAGATATGTCTTCTCAGCCTAAGATAATATTATTTACTGATTTCTGAACATGAACGAAGTGAGTGGACGTGATCTAACTAAGGATATGTAATTGCCAAAAATTTAAAGCTAAAGGGTTGATAATCTGCGCAATTTGTCCAGACCCAAAAATAATCTAGTCATATGCTGATCCTGGTTTTGCGCAATTTTGACGAGCCTGAACAGACTCTACTATCATGTGCATTTTATTCGTAATCATTTTCCCAAATTCCCGTTACTAAAAAAAATCTTATTGGCCGATCATCTTGTGATTTGAGTTGCCGGAAATAGAGCCCACGGATTCGTGCATTTGCATAATAATGTATTAATACATTATAATTTTGCATTGCACTTTTCGCACTATTGAGGCAATTTTTAACACTTTTGCATTTTTTACGTGATCTAAATCGAATTTACCATTTAAGGAGAACGTCTAAAGCGGGCACGTTACGTGATATAATATTGTGATTGGTCAGAAAATACGAACGATTTATTGGCCAGAAAATTGAGAAACACAGATTTTGGCATATCATTTTGCAAAAAAAAAAATTTTTTTTTTGAGCGCAATATTATTTTTCCTTACGAAAAAAAACAGACTAAGCAAGTCAGTAGGAAAGAAACTTGGTGTTGAAGAGAAAGGTTAAAAGAGATAATATGATTAAAATTCCCAAAAATAAAATATAATAATAATAATAATAATATAAAAAAAAAATTGCTTTCATTCAGAAGTTAAAAATTCACAATTTTTTTTGTGAATAGTTTATTTTAAAGAAAAGAACACAATATTTTAAACCCTTCACACTTTATTATAATGTCTTCCGCCACTATTACCTCTACATCTTTTTCGGCTATAACATCAATATTAAACCTTACACCAGACGAATAATAAAAATATCTATTTGATGTTAATTGTATTTTGGAAATTCCAATGGAGGATTTTGATGATAATTGGTGGCCATTAATAACAAATATTTGGATAAAATGGGATTCGTATAATTATGTAAATGGTAATACTTGGAAAACTTTCGCATGCCGTTTTATGAAGCATTGGGAATCAAGTGTCTGACAAAAGGAAAATATTCCTAATGAAAAACGAAGAATAACTAAGACACAACCATCTGGTCTATGTCATGCAAAAATCAAAGTTTCTTGGATATTCTCTTTAAAAATTATTCAGGTAAGATGATTATTAAACAAGGGGAATTTTTTCCTTATTGTTAAATATTTTGTTATTATTGCGGATTGTATGCAATTTCCTTTATTTATTGTATAATATTTAAACTGTTTTCAGGTAGAACAATATAAAAACTCCCTCAATCACACACATTCTTTATTAGAAATTGATAGGATAAAATGACCAAAGGTTGTTAGAAATTTAGTTAAAATCAAGACTGTCAAAAATTATTCACCTCCAGCAATTACAGCGGTCGTCAAAGAATATGCAACAGAGAAGTTAGGTCTTGGTGAATGTGTGCGAGAGCTAAAGCATAAGGAAGTAATGAACATTAAATATAAAGTTTGTGATCCTATGAAGTCCCATTTTATTGGAAATTCCAATATAAAATTGGATATTTCAGAATCCGTTTTTTATTTAATAGAGCAAGGGTATCTTGTTGAAGAATATTGAGTCCTTCAACGATCTACTAAAGGTATTGTATTCGCACATCCAGAACAAATAAAGAAGCTTGAATGTCATAGGTAGTTAACGCTTATAGATTTGATACATAAGATTAACCTGTATAATTGGCATCTTTTCACTCTTTACATTCGTGATATTTACGGATGCTGGAATGTGGGTGCTCACTTTTTTGTAAGTAGTGAGAATGGAGACACAATTGCAAAAGCATTAGAGATAATTTGTAATAAGTATTACCATTGGTCTCCCCGTTATATACTTTCAGACCAAAGTAACATTGAAGCCAAAAGTATTAAAACAACTTTTTCTGGTATAACTGCTGGTGAGTAAGAATATTAAATGCTCCTTTGTGTTGTTTATGTTATGAGAACTTGGATGCGAAGAATTCATGAAAAAGAAACTCAGGTTCTTATGATTCAAGTAATGCATAAAAGGACAACAATTGGCTGCGAAAGTCTTATTCAGGATGCTATTAATCGATATATAGTTTTTGCTGTAAAAAAATATATCAAAAGAAACTGAAAGAAAAATATACAACAATGGATTTATGTGCCTGTCAACATTCCCACCTGCTTTTACAAGTCAAATCTACGAATCCACTGGAATCTTTTCATAGTGAATTAAAGAGAATTACATTATCTTTATATGGTTTAATTAGTAAATAACGATTCTGAATTTTATGTATTTAATGATATTTGTTTGATTTAATCATATTTTAATCA